ATTTTTCGTCCTGCAGTTTAATTTCAATTAGCTGCTGATTTGGGCTGCGCGCTTCTTCAATAAATGTTCCTGCGATTTTCGAAATTAAATTTTTTGCCAGCTTTTTAATAAGCTTTCCGATTCGCTTACTTGTGCCATTCTTAGAACCGTTTTCCGGTCTCTTTGCCCGTCCTCAACGGCCATCACAGACCTCGTAGTTTTCTGTTGTTGTGTATTATGCAACTGTAAAGGAGCTCCTAAATTTACAAGCTAATTAAAAAACTGAGTAATTTATTAATTAGTGGAATACAAGATTATAGAGAAGATCTTCAAATTTTCTAAAATACAATAAGAAATGAAGAAATATTTATACATCTGAAAAAAAGTGAATATTTGGGATGAGGTAGGAAAAAGCAATTACTAAGCAAAGTTGTAATCTTTGATACAAAAAAAAAAGGGAAAATTTTCATTTTCAGCGAACTCCTTTACATTCGGCGTCATAGGGAAAGCACACTAAGGAGGTAGTATGTCAAATGCGGAGCGGGGCCGACATCAACGCAAGGAGCGTGCATGAGGTAAAATTTGAAGCCATCTATACAAAGTCTATTTGCATGTTGTAGTGTTATTACTTAAATAGCTGCAAAAGTTTAATTTGGAAAATTTTACGATTAGTGGAAAGCTGTTTAAATTGCTTTTGATAAACTTATCAAAATACTATAATACGCGAGTTGATACTTAAAAACTTTGGTGTGAAACGCTGAAAAAAAAATACTTCTTGAAAGAAAATTGCATCTTATTTGAAAAAAAAAAACTGGAAGAGCAAGAAGTGAGCAAATGATATGAAAATAACTAAATGAGAAAGGAGAAATAACTTCTGATCAGAAAAAATTGTTTCGAAAAAAGCATCAGAAGAAGGTTTAAATATTAAAAAAAATGATAAAAAAGCCTAAAAATCTAAATGGGAAAACAGGCAGAAATTAGAAAAGCAAGAATTTTAAAAAAAATTTCCTTTATTTGACAACCATGCATTTATTGTCAATAGGGTGTGGTATAGTATTGTCAAAACAGAGGCCGAGCTCACTGCAAGAAACGGATTCGAGGTAAGAATTTCTTGGAAAATTACTGGAGTGATCAAACCATAAAATGGCAGAAAGGTAACTAACAAAGCAAAAATTTCCACTTTCTGTGAAGAATATTCTAAAAAACCTTTTATTTTTAGCGGACTCCGTTGCATTAAGCAGCAGAAATACGGCACATTAAGGTGACAAAATATCTGACCTGAGATGCTCTTGCATCAATGCAACGGACGAAAATGAGGTGAAAGCTTGCCAAAGAAATTCAGTCATAATTTGTTTAAATTCTTCATCCTTTGATGAAAAAGTTTCAGCTAATGAACAGCTGTAGACAGAAAATTACGTTCTTATGAGATAATATGAGCGCAAAAGAAAGAAGTAAAAAGTATTGAAATTATCAAAAGAGAATAACTGTAAAAATTTCAACTGGAGCTCAAAACTCGCAGTGCCTCCGTCAAGAAGTAAAAAAATATATATAAAAAACTTTCAGCTATTCAATGCCCATAAATAATAATTTTCATTTAGCGAACTCCGTTGCATTTGGCATCAGGATGAGGGCATATCGATGTTGTAAAATGCTCATTGAATTAAAAGTTAAAAGGCGCCGACCTTAATGCGAAACTTTTTGTTGAGGTAAATATGTATCAAAAAAAAAA